CCCTGGCGTAAGCAATAAAGTCACTGCCATTTATGAAACGACAACACCAGGGCTCAAGAGGATTTAGCAACTTGCTGGAGGCTGCAGAGCTGTCAGGGCCCCGCAGGTGCACCTGGCTCTGTGTGCCTCTGAGCTGTCGTGGATATGGTCGTCTCCTGCTGCTACTATGCCTTCCCTGCAGAACCCTGGGTCACGGTGACCCGAGTGACAACGGAGTTTGCCTGCTGCTGTCCCATCTCTCCTTGGCACCCCTTTTGCTCCTAAAAAGTCTCCTTGTTTAAAACAAAGTATATTGTCACCATCCCCGTATGGTCTGAATCAAAATTCTGGGTCCCAGCTACCTAACCTCACCTGGAATCCCCATCCCTGTCTTGAAACACAACTGTCTCAAATGTAAACTTGTCTCCTTCTGAACCTGTTCTTCCTCTGTGTTCCCTAATCCTTTTAACTTGGTCCCTGGGGACACTTCCAAGAAGTCCAGGACTTGGGAGAGGCCACTCCGCCAACCATCTCTCTAACCCTGCGTCAACCACGAGCTTCCTACATCCAGGTCCTCTCGCCAATGAAGCGGCCAGGCCTATTAGGATGAAAAAGGCAGCATGGCAAATTTTATCACGAAAGCAGATACACATAAAGAGCATTATTGTCATTAATAAATCTTGACAAAAACCATTCTCAGACCAATACTGGATGATTCTACTCTTCTGCGGTGCCTAGCGTAGCTAACTTTACAGAGACAGGAAGCAGAACAGCGGTTGCCAGGGGCTGGGGAGGGCGCGGGGAGAGCTTAGTCTAACGGGCAGAGAGTTTCAGCTCTGCAAGATGAAAGCGTTCAGAGATGAACAAACGTGGTGGTGGTGGTTACCCCACCGTGTAGACGGACTTAATGCCACTGAACTGTGTGGCCTTACAAACGGTCCGTCAAAATGGCAAATTGGGTGTTGCATATGTTTGAACACCATTTTAAAAAAGCAAAATACATCTTTTCAGTAAAATCTCTCTCCTCCTGTGGAACTGTGGGTAAAATGCTAACCTCTTCAGAGTTCTTGTCAATCTGTTGCATTAAACAATAAAAACAATAAAAAGCTAGAAACCTACCTGGGTCTCTTTGGCAGTGCAAAACGGGGGGGGGGGCGTGTGTGTATATATATTTAGTAAAGTGTCCAGGAAAACAAATGGTTCTGAGAAAGCGGAGCCCCACAAGAGAAGGGAGAGAAGGCAACACAAAGACGCAAAACTCTCCTAGGGATATAAAGCAAGTCAACACCTGTCCCGCAAGAAAACGACTGGGGATGCATAGAAAGTCCCCAGCTCTGTGTGCAAAGGCAGACCGGTGCCTGAGTGAGCCACGGTGCCAGAGATATCGAAACCGAAAGCAGCTTAGGTTGCATGGACAACGCCTGTGACCATAGCCATGACGACCTGCGGCGGCAGAATACAAATTTCCAAAACACTGACCTCCACCCTCTGTCACCATAAATGACCTTTGCTAACTACCACTGCTTTGTGAGAGTTTTTTTTGTTTTGTTTTGTTTGGTTTGGTTATGAGACAGAGTCTTACTCTGTTGCCCAGGCTAGAGTGCCGTGGCGTCAGCCTAGCTCACAGCAACCTCAAACTCCTGGGCTCAAGCAATCCTCCTGCCTCAGCCTCCCGAGTAGCTGGGACTACAGGCATGCGCCGCCATGCCAGGCTAATTTTTTGTATATATATATTTTTAGTTGGTCAATTAATTTCTTTCTATTTTTAGTAGAGACGGGGGTCTCACTCTTGCTCAGGCTGGTTTTGAACTCTTGACCTTGAGCAATCCTCCCTCCTCAACCTCCCAGAGTGCTAGGATTATAGGCATGAACCACCACGCCCAGCCCACGAGTTTAAAATTCTTTTCAAATGTGCACCTAAAATAATTGCACGAATCTCACATAGTTTATTCCCCGCTCCCTCTTCAATGACAGCCCCCTTTTAAAGACATTTGAAGAGTGACTTGACTTCAAGAGAAGTCAAATATTAACTAGAAATAATCATTTTAATTACCTACAAGTGGTCAATCAGCTGTGTTGAAAAGACTTCAGATCTATTTAAGGCATTAAAAATAACTAACAAGATTGTTACAAAGCATTTTATAAATTTAAAGAGTCAAATAAATAGTTTATAATCATCAGCGTCATATAAAATAATTTAACAGCCACAAAGTGACCGTAATGACTCTCTATCATTTTATCCTACCTACATAAAACTGTGAAATAATGAGGAATTAAGTGCCATTATGTTGCCACTTTAAAAGGTAAATGCTCGGTAAGGGCCAAAACCAAAAGAAAAACAAGAACAAAAAAAACTAAATTCAAGCAAGACCAAGGAAACTGGCTAGAATTTTACTTGATTTGTGTGCAATGTATTGTTTAAGTGGTAACAAACATGCAAAATATTGACCAATAATTCCAGAGAATATTCAACAGATAATATTACAACATTAAACAGACAATATTCAAAAGATTGTTTACAAAAGCTTTTCTTTTTTAGAGACAGGGTCTTGTTTTGTTGCCCAGGCTGGAGTGCAGTGGCATCATCATAGCTCAATGCAACCTCAAACTCTTGGACTCAAAGAATCCTCCTACTTGAGCCTCCCCAGTAGCTGGAACTACAGGTGCTGGACACCACACCTGGCTAATTTTTCTATTTATTTTTTGTACAGAAGGGGATTCACTATATTGCCCAGACTGGTCTCAAGCCATCCTCCTGCCTCAACCTCCTAAAGGACTAAGATTACAGGCATAAGCCACTGCATCCAGCCCACAGAAACTTTTTTTAAAACCCTGTGTAAGGTCTGCAAAAATAGACAATCTATTTTCTGATGTGTTTCCTAATGGCAACTAATTTTTATTACCACACAATGAAAGCACTCCAGAGAATAAGAAAAAGATCAGATGTGAGCTGACTTCCATTTCTTTGTTATAAAACCAAACATGTGTGTCCAAAGGTAGACCAGCAAAAGGAGAAAACACTGTCAAACACATTAAATAAATGTCACTCATCACTCTTTTTAAGAAGTGGGAAGCTGTAGGGTCAGGTCAGGTGAATTAAGCAACAGAGAAAATGTCAAAAGCGATGAATTTGAACCCCAGGCAGATCTTAACGGCTTAGCTAGTTTCTCCCACCTACAAAAATCAGGACACCTCTGCTGCTGTTTGTGTTAGCTAATTAACAGGCGCAAAGCATGCTGAAAGTGGAAACTGCTAAATAAATAATGACTGCCGAAGAATTCTAACCATAATGTGCTAAATAATAACGATGAAACGTGGGCTTCTGATGTTACGACTTTTTGTTTTCAAATTAATAGTGCAAATAAGACTCCAGTCTCTTAAATACGGCTCAGCGTTGTGTCAGATCGCAAGTTAAATTTAGGGACCAGGAAGCGCAGAAGGGATCCGGTTTCTCCAAGAGCAGTTGACTCAACTACAGAAGGAGCAACGAAAAGACAGTCACGTTCTATTCCCGTAGCTACAGAAATATCACTGCGCTGCCCATGTCTACATTTTGGTTAATTCCACATAGAGGCCATTCTACCAGAAAACAACTTTTTTTGAGAATTTCTATTTGTTTCAAACTGGTTTTGAAACCCTACACTTTAGTGATGTATTACACTCTTTTCTGGAAATTGGCGACACAATGATGTCAACTAAAAAATGACTGTTCTCTAACTTCCCCAATCCCTTTGACTAGAGTGTGAGAGACTTGTAGGCCTATCTAAGAACTTCCCAGGCCTTTTAGACTTGCTTACTGAGGGAGTAAGGACAGTCAAGATATTAGCACCAATTCTGTGACCTTCCTTCTAAACTTTGTATTCCAATGGTGGTATGACTAAGTCATAAGATTTAAACTATGGGCCGGGGAAATGTAACATTATTTTACTATTCAAAACTATGCTTTTGGCCGGGCGAGGTGGCTCACGCCTGTAATCCTAGCACTCTGGGAGGCCGAGGCGGGCGGATTGCTCGACGTCAGGAGTTCGAGACCAGCCTGAGCAAGAGCGAGACCCCATCTCTACTATAAATAGAAAGAAATTAATTGGCCAACTAATATATATAGAAAAAAAAAACTAGCCAGGCATAGTGGCACATGCCTGCAGTCCCAGCTACTTGGGAGGCTGAGGCAGTAGGATTGCTTGAGCCCAGGAGTTGGAGGTTGCTGTGAGCTAGGCTGACGCCACGGCACTCACTCTAGCCTAGGCAACAAAGCGAGACTCTGTCTCAAAAAAAAAAAAAAAAAACTATGCTTTTTTTTGCATATATACACTTGAAATACCTACTGAGTACTGTGAAATCTTAAAAAAAAAAAAGAATTATAAATCATAGAAAGATGTGAAAACCTTAGAGATCAAATCCATTTTAATCATTTCTCATCGAAAATACAACATATTGGAAAATATGGTCTTCTGCTTTAATCCAAAATCTGATCAGGGTTCTGCTCACAAAATATGAACACTTGTAAATAAACTGTAGCTATAAAGAATCATTTCGACATCACTGAATAAACAAGCCAACATCTTACTTACTATATATTTGGGAAGAGAGTCATCCCCCAGTTACTATTTTAAGGAAAAATTAAACATCTACAAAAGAAACCAAAGTAAAGGGTATTATTCACATTAAAACCTAAATATATAATTTTATCCTTGTGACCAAGACCTCAAATACCAGTTTTAGTGACTCATATTAATTTGATTGTGACATTAGCTCTTATAATCGTAGACGTAAAAAGACCACTATGTTCCAAACATAATTATCTCACCAGCATCTCATTTCACGAAATTATTAGTTAAGATGAGAGCCTCTGAATAAATTTATATTTGATTAGCTTCACTTAAGAACACTGAATAATTTAAGATCCTTTTAAATTTAAGGGAAGCAGGAGGGAGGCTTCTGAGAAGCACTGAACTCCCCCCACACCCTGCCATTTGCAGACGGACCCTGCGTTTTTCCAAATGACTGCCAATCCGTCATACCTTCCAGGTGAAGCCACATCAACCTCCCCTTCACACTGACGACAGTGGCCACGCAGAGCTCTCCCGGATTCCTGGGGTTCACAGCTTCCAGTTTCATGTTCTTAGTGAAGCCTCGGCTGAATGATGTCTGAAAGAGAAGGAGAACTAACACTGAGCCCACAGCCTCGGCAAGACAGTGGGCAGCAACAGGGCAGGGCAGATGAAGAAACGGAAATGCACACGCCTGCGCACACATCCCATCCGTAAGACAGGGTTGTTGGCGGGCTTGTCTTTCCCATTGTTCATGAGAAAAAGAACCGGGTATTCTTCATTTTAGGTATCCCAGAAATTAGAACTGTGCTCGACACACAGTAGGTGTCTAATAATTATTGGTTATATGAGAGAGAGTATGAAAACATTCTCTTTCCAGTTCCATATGCACCCTTACTTCTATGGGATCACTGAGGTACCCACCATTTCTTCTACTTTCCTATATCACACCTGCCGGTCTAAGGACCACAACTTTGAGAATCACCACTTTAGATAACTGAGCATAGTTATAACAGGGGCTTTAAAATACTGGTCTGTTACTCCCAACGTCTGGGTCATGCTGGGTTTAGTCTATGTTGATAATCTTTTCTACTGAGAATGAATCTAATTTTCCAGTTTCTTCATGTCCTGAAAAACGATGGGCTGAAACATGAATATTTTAAATGCTATGTTGTGGAGACTCTGGATTATGTTATATTCCTCCCAAGAGTGTCCGTTTTTCTGCTTTAGCAAGCAATTAACCGGGCTGCACTCAGACTACAAACTCTGTCTCTTGAGAAGTAGCTCAAATGTCAGTCAAGTTCTTTCATCCTTATTAAGGCTGCTTGGAGTATGCCCTGGTACATACATAATTCAGGGATGAGCCAAAGATCCAGGTAGAATTTATACACAGAATTTGTGGTTCCCAGCCCTGGCTCTCTCCTGTCTGAGTATCCCCTCACTTTCTAGTATCTGTGGCTGCCCGAATTCTGGAATCTGGTTTATCAGGCCAGAAAGGCCATGAATTTCATATCACTCTTTAAGTTGTCCCATATGTTGCCAACTGTGGCTGCCCTCAGGCTAACAGTCTGAATAAATGGGACAATCACCCCAAGCTGTTCCTTTTTTCCCAACCACCTGCTTCCCTCCAGAATATGCCTGCTTTTGTTCATTCTCCCCGACCTTCACTTAGTTTTCGGTACAGTACCCTGAGTTTAGTTGTTATATTTGCAGAAGGGACAATTCAGTCCGAGCTTACTCAGTCAATACTGAAAGCAAAACTCCTTCCTAACATGATTTTTAAATAAATATGAAAATTTTCCCAAATCACTACCATAATTTATAATCAGACATGTTACAAAACTATACACATATCTATTTTGAAATATATACCCCAAGATAAATAGCTTCCTATAAGGAAAAAGAAAATACATATTTATATGACTCATGCAAAGAAATCAAGGTAATTCACATTTACGTTTCTTTTTATAAAACTGAAGTAGAAAAACACAATTATATTTTCATGCGACCGACCAGAAGAAAATTATCCAATGCATGCGAAGAAATCAATTGGCTCCTTTTCTTGATGTCTCTTTGGAAATAGGAGGCAAAGATATTCTAGGTGGGCAAATTCTTTTCTGCAAGTCATCCTGCCTCATCCACAGCTCTCATGCGTTGAGCTCCTTTCTGATGATACAACTCGATAGGCTGCCTGGAAAAGCTCTAAGTACGTTAAAATGCATTTTATCCTACTTAATAAGGGAAAGCTACAGACCACATTTTCCTTTCAGTCCACGGCTGGAGGGTAATTGATAAAGGATCAATAGCAAAACTGTTAGCTGGGAGTTTATTTTACTGAGCATTTTGCTACATCCATCCCTTTGCTAACAGCCTCTGATTGTTAAATATTCCCCCGAGGGGGGAGGAAATGTCTTCCATGCATCCAATTCCTCGCTGGCTCTCCTCTGGTACACATGAGATGTGTGATTATAAAAACGAATTCATAATAAGCATTCCATTAAAGAACACTTGTAGCCAGCTAACAGATTCGGCGAAGTACCAGTAATATGCTGCACATGCCAACGGGCAGCCAACAGCCCCGTCTATTAAGTAAACGGGGGGCCAGAAACAAAGGCGCTGCTAATGAACACAGCAGCGAAGTCATTAAGACAGATTTAATCTTGGAAGCTGAATCCCAAAAGCGCAGAGGCCACTTGGGAACGTGGCTACTCGCTCCACAATTAAAAGCCATTTGGACAACTCCTTGGCTGGATGGGAGCGGAGGGCACATACAAAGAAGTGTTAGTGGAATTCTGTTGTCACAGAAGCAGTAACGCCCTAGGAGGGAAGAGGCCAGGATTTTCTTCCCAAGGCTACAGAGTCAGGGAAGGAATCATTCCTCCTGCCGGGCACCAAGCACAATCTCAAGGCGGGTTTGGGGGCTATCGCAGGGGGTTCCCACAGTCCTAAAGGGAAGGCAGACACAGGCCGGCAGATTCTGCGGCGGTGGCACCGACACGGTGAGAGGTCAGGTGAGACAGCGCTGGGTGTCTTTAAGCCCTAGGAGCCTCAGGAGCCAGGCAGCTGCAGCCCTCGCAGGGGGACCGGTGACACAGCCAGCCGTCCCTGTCACCTACACACAACACACGGTTCTTCCACACTACAGAGTGAACTGCTGCTATGCAAAGGCACGGTGGTCCAGTGGAAAGGTCATTCAACCGGGTGAGGAGCCCCGATTTCCAGCCCTGCTGTGGATTGGTTGTAGGACATACGAGTACAAGTTGACCCAGCAACAAACCTGCTTACAAAAAACAAAAAAACCTCCAAAATCTGATTTCCATATACGCTCGGTTTTGAGCTTCTTCCTATGAAAGCCAACCCTTTCTCATCTCATTTTTCCTACTCTGTTATCTCCGCAGTCCTAATTACTAGCAGGGTGTCAACGCACCGGCAGCTCTAGGAGAGTGTGTTCAGAAAGCAGGTCTTTGATTTGGGAGTGCTGCGGATCCCAATTAAAAGAAGAAACTGTATCTTTTTTTTTTCTCAGCATAAGGAATGAACTTTTATGACCAAAATTATGTTGAACGCACCAGGCTACACATTTAAGCCTCATTCTTAAAAACAGAGATAATAAATTCCTATTTCTTTTCGTAGTTCCTAGGGGTTGACGAATTGTCTCTAACTTTATAAACTACAGTCATGCGCTGCATAATGACATTTCGGTCAAGGATGGGCCGCATACACAACAGTGGTCCCAAGAGATTATGATGGTCATGCCATATATTAATAGCTTAGCTGTAGCAGGCTACACCATCTAGGTTGTGGAGGTACACTCTACGACATTCACACAACAAGGAAATCGCCTGAGGATGCATTTCTCAGAACGTATCCCCATCAACAAGCAACGAATGGCTGTACTTTATAAAACCACTTCCTATAACTCCGCAGGAACACACGTGTGCACACACACACTCGCTGTTACTTGACATGTCACAAACATCCTAGTACCTACCATGCCAATACGCTCTGCTTGAACAAGATAATAGCTTAAGGCAAGCAAAAAAAGCACGGGACTGACCAGCATCTCACCAGTAACCAAAGAAAAACATTAAGACTGTATTTTAAGAATAGACCCCAGGGGCAAAGAATCTCTTATCAATGAGCTTGTCTATACAGTGCCACACAACAAAGGCATACCTAATGGTGGCACAGAGGGCTAGCTGTCCCCCCAAAATTTGCCCTCTTCCTTCCACAGTATAGAATCAGTATCTGGGAAACTGAAGCCCAGCAAGACCCATTTCCTGGGCTCACTGATGGCATCGTGCAGCTGAGCAAATAGTTCTCACCAGTGGGAGGTAAATGGGAGTACCAATGATAGAGGTCACTCTCCAGCTACAGTATTCGGGAACTTGGTCTCCTTTCCCTTCTGCGGGCTAGATTCAGAGACTCTAGCCCCAGACTCGACCACCAGGAACACCGGGGACTCTTCCGTGAGTGAGACACTTTGCTGCTGACTTTCCACTCCCCCCAGCCACTGTGCACTGGCTCCTCAACCTGCTACCACAGCCCAGCCGCACTGACAGACACACAGCCTGGTAGGAACACTTTCCAGAAACTCCCGCAAGTTCTGTGATTCTCCGGTGCAGGGTACTCCAGCTTTGCTCGATCAATAGAAACTGACTTATGAAACTTATGGTCAACAACATCTATGATTTAAAAAAAAAAAAAAAAAAAAAGGTGGTCAGGATTCTGTAGTTGCCTTACATTTCTGAAGCAGAACGGAGGTGCTTCTTCCGCCCCGTGCTGCTTGTGATAATCTGCCCAGTCGAAGTCCTGGCCAGAGTAACCTGTGAACGACAAAGCGCAGGTAACACCGCATGAGTGGAGGGACAAAGCAGGAACAGGTTCCCCGAAGGAGAAAGTTCTCTCAGGCCTAACAGCACTTCAGAGTCCACGAAGCAAAATGAAGGATTTTGGAAAACTTGAATGAATGAGTACTGCTGCGCACAGGTAAGGCGTCCTTATCATGATTTGGCACCTGAACCCCAGGTGAGGAGGGCAGACTTACCTGCAGCGCCACCTGCTGGCGGGGAGGCCTGCCACAGGTGAGCGGAGCTGAGACGGGAAGTGGCACAACACACACACACACACACACACACACACACACACACACACACACAGGCTCACAACCCAGACTGCAAAAATAGACAATGACCCCTCCTGCCACCCCCCTGCATGTATAACTTTCAGTTCACACAAACATAATTCTCGGTATTTTGTGGAAATCATGAGAATTTATTGCGGGGGGGGGGCTGGGGGGACAGGACAGGGGATGATTTTTAAAAACTGTAACAGAAGAGGGCAAACGGGGAGCAGGGGTTGGAGGAATGAAGCCCCCCAAGGAACATTTTTAAACAAAACAAAACACATCTGAAGATAATGGAAGTTTCTATACAATTAGTACAACCATCTGCTTTGAGCACAGTCTCTCTGGGAGGGTTTGGATCTAACCCTTGCATTATTGTAAAAGGATGGAAGAATTAGTCTCAGGGCACCCCACACCGGCGAGAGTTTCGTAGCCGTAAAAGGGGCACCGAATCTGAGATGAGGACATCGGGGTTTTAGACCCAGCTGTACCAGCAACTGGATGGACCACGGGAAAGCAAGTTGAATCTTCCGTGCCTGACTTTCCTCATCCACAAGCTCACACAATAAAGAGAAGAGGTGGAGGGAGGGCTCTCTGGCTGTCGCGTTCTAGGATTCAGAGTCGGATCACTAAAATTCTTAGCAAACTAAGGGGTTGTTTTCTTCTCTCTGTGGCTCTCATTCCCTTCTCTCCTTCTGGGAGAAGAGTGTGCCGGGGTTGGACGGAGAGAGGTGACGGAACAAGCTGTCCCTCCGGAAGACCTCACAACTCACCCCACAGAGACAAGATGAAGCTCTGCAAACACAAGGGTCCCACTGGGATGGGGTCTTAGCAGACCGACTCTGTTCAAGCCAAGATCTCCTGTTCTGTCATCTCTCCCCTGGGCCTCTGCTACTTCCTGAGTTAATTTTGTGAGCAGAGGAGAAATGCAGGATAGGGCAAACCTGTATAGAGGAGCAGCAAAGCATTTTCTGATACAGTGGGGCATTTGGGTGTTCTTCATGGCCAGCATCTTCTCAGACAAAACTTTCCAAGCTAGAAGTCACCCTTAATCCTTACATATGGACATTTAGCTGGGTTTTCTATAGCCAACTTCTAATGTACGTCAACCCACGATATAAAATATCAAGTTCTGTGTTTTCTTGGATCTGTTAATACATTCAACCCTTCCGTATACCCAGCCCCCAACACTCTATGGGGAGCCATTTCCAATCTAATAATTTCTAGATACAATCAAGTCTTGCCGGGTACGTTCTAAGCAACAATTAATTATTCTCTTGAACATCTGAACAGCATAGAGGATGACTCCTCCTTCTCTTAGGGACCTTTATTCACTCCCGCCACTTAAAATTCTTTTCCTTTGGGCTGATAATGAGCTCTCTTTGTAAGGTGGGTTTTCTGACAGCTCAGAAAATAACTGCTGCGTAAAAACAAATCGCCCTGGATTGTATAACAGGGACAACAGGGGCCAATTACGCTCATTAATCAACAAAGACAGAACAAGAAGTGCCCAGGCTTAACTGCAGCCAGGAAAACATGTTTTAAACCTGGAGGGAGGGAAACAGCAGAGGAGAGAAGAAAATAAAAGGAAATAAAACCCCTCAGGCTATTAAAATCTGCAACAAGCTGCCACGGGAGGACTGTTGAGCCACAAGCATTAGAGTTATTTAAGCTTTTTATTAGTGTTTATTCTGAATGAAGTTCCCACCGTGACAGGTCGAGAAGGGAAAGAGGTTGGACGACCCTTTGCCGTCTGATACAAATGAATGGACATAAAACATCTCTCTCTGCACATGGTGCTACCAGTGGTCCCAACGGACAGATCTGCAGAAAAACTATTTTGTTCATACCCTCTGACATGACGATATCACTTCTGGGAACTCATCCCATAAAAACGGCCCTAAAAACTGACAAAGTGTTATACATTAAGATATTTGTGGCATTATGACTGCTAATGGGATAAAAACAAACAACTTTCCACCCAATAAGAGCAAAAGAGATGAGATGATCCAGGTCCACAGAATGGCACGTAGGCATGAAATTGCACGTAGTAAGTTAAAAAAAAAAGTACTCATAAGAAAATAATAGCTATGGCTTTAGATCAAAAGGCTGCTACAAACACACACAGGATTAGTAGACTCATATAAAAATATGCAAAGAGAAAGACCAGAGGTAATGTAAGAACTTTGTAATGAATATCACAATAGTCGTTTGGGTAGTAGGACTCTTGGCTACTTTTTTCTTTGGCCTCTTTGTATTCTCCAAGGTTTCAGTAACAACTGCACAATTATTTCATTAATAAAAAAAATTATTTGAAAACACAGCATCTTTGATCTGTTTTAAAGGATAATCAAGGCACTGGTCACTCCGTCCAGGGTCTGGTCCAGCGAGTGGACCACACCAGGACAGCCTCTGCACAGCCTACCTCCAGCTCCGTGTTTGCCAACAGGATCCTGATTTTACCCAGTTCCTGGAGGAAGCGAATCAGTGAATCACGACCACCCCGAGACAATCGTGGTGGCTGCCTGCCCCTTGCCTGTGGTTTGAGACGGGGCTAAGTGACAGGTTTGAAAAAACAAAACAAAAAAAAACTCTCTGTCTCTAATAAAAGAGACAGGCCAGAATAAAAGCTCCTCTTTGAGAAATATTCACTGTCAGCCTCCAGTTTGCCAGACTCTGGATAGTTGCTGGTGTGACAAGCATGGAGAAGGCTCTGGCAGTCGCTGGGAGTGACAGACACAGAGTCTGACAGCATCATCACAGCAGGGTAAAGCCAGCGCGGAGGGAGAGAGAGACGTGGAGAATTAGGCGAGACGGCTCCGAAGATCTCACCACGTGGGACTGAACTGCAAACAGCCCCGGGGAGAGATGGTCCTCACCCCCGAGAACGCTTACTTTATTAAATGTTAGGAGAGCGTGTGCAAATAGCAAGCTTGCTTAACTTTTAGTTCCAACCTTCCTTGGAAAGGGAAAGTGATACAATAATCTTCGAAGATCAGCAAATAGCAGGACCCAGACATCTGAAGGGAAGAAGAGGCGACACAACCAGTGTTCTGAGATCGGGTTCTCCGTCCTCTCTAAGAAAATCTCGTGACCCATCGCGCCGTTACTTTGGGCATCCTTTCAATGCACTACTCTTCCGATTGAAAGTTGACCTTTCTCCTTTCAAGCCCAAGCTTTCACTGGTTTTGAAAGAACCAAACTTCCTTGGACGCCCGCTAAAGCCATGTGCTCAATGGCATCTCTTCAGGGGATAGAGCCCAGGAGGGGAAGTTGCACAGCCCTGAGCTGGCTGAGCTGCCCCGGGAGCCAGCCTGTCTACTCTGGAGACATCTTTAGAAACAACGCCTGTTTCTGTTTGACCAAGGAGTTTCTGCACATCACGGGCTCACAGGGCAGGACGGCAGAAACGCCAGTAACTGACCAAAGCGTTTCCTCCCATCCACGCTGTTTGCTAAAAAACTACAACCTCCCTCTTGAAATCTTCCAACTACTTCTATATTCTCACAGCTGATGTTCAATTTTCAGCCCTCCCTGATACATTTAAAATTTACTCATTCATTAATTTCCAATTGAATTATTCTAAACAAGGAAAGAAAAGAGTAAGCAGTCAGTTTAGTATAAACACCAGCCATATACCACCTTCCTTTATCTCTTTTGTTTGTTTCTTTGCTTTGAGACAGAGTCTCACTCTGTTGCCCAGGCTAGAGTGAGTGCCGTGGCGTCAGCCTAGCTCACAGCAACCTCCAACTCCTGGGCTCAAGTGATCCTCCTGCCTCAGCCTCCCGAGTAGCTGGGACTACAGGCATGCGCCACCATGCCCGGCTAATTTTTTCTATATATATTAGTTGGCCAATTAATTTCTTTCTATTTTTAGTAGAGATGGGGTCTCGCTCTTGCTCAGGCTGGTTTCCAACTCCTGACCTTGAGTGATCCGCCCACCCTGGCCTCCCAGAGTGCTAGGATTACAGGCGTGAGCCACCGCGCCCGGCCTCACCTTCCTTATCTTTTAAAATAAGAATTATGTTGCCAAGTATTTAATTATCGGTCATGGTGTGACACTTAATCTGCTTCTCTGTCTGGGGGCATGTTCAACATGCTATTTTGAATTATAAACATAATATTAAGGGACACAGGTATGTCCCCAGATAGAGCCTGACATCAAATAAATATCAGCTGTCAACAGCAAAACCATCTTAAAAGTCCTGAAAAATGAAGAGAATTTAGGGATAAGTGAAAAAAAGGGGTTCTTCATTTTCAACAATCAAAAATATTGCCAGATACTGAAAGTGAGTCAGAGCTGAGAGTCCCAGCAGCTCACAGCGGGCAAGGAGGGCTGGCCACAGGTGGCTGCCCCGTCTGTGAAAATGGGACTAGACAAATGAGGCCACTGGAACCCCTGGCCTCAAGTGAACCTCCCGCCTCGGCCTCCCAGAGTGCTGAGATTACAGGTGTGAGCCACCGCGCCCGGCCCAGCTGTCCACGGTCTTGACTTAGACACTGAGTGAGGTGGAGGTCACCGGACAGTCCCAGCAGAGGAGGGACTTGTGATTTATGTTCTAGAAGGATCAACGTGACTGCTGTTCAGTTGAGGGTCCCCCTGAGCTAAACCCGAGGCCACCTTACGCAGTAACCAGGTGAGACTCGCTGGTGGGCTGAGCCAGGCAGGTGGTGGCGTTGAGCAGCGGTGAGATTCTGCAAACACTGACAGGATCCCTGCATAGGTTTGACATGGAGGTTGAGAAAGAAAGGACGCAAGGGCGACTCAGCCTTCATTTGTATCTGTAATGCTTTCATTTCTCATATTTCATTTTTTGGAAATGTAAATCAGACATGGCAAAGCGCCAGCACCTGCTGAAGCGGGGCAGCAGGGCCGTGAGTGTCTATATATTATTTTCTGCCCGCGTCGGTACGTCTGAAATATGACGGACCACAAAACAGACCGAGTTCGTCAGTTAGCGCCTGAGATTTTCCTTTAGGAAAAGAGAATACCAATTAGGGCGCCCTGTTTTGTGTCTCCACAATCATTAAAACACACCTTTACTTCTCAAATCGTGTTAACAGTTTACGTGGCTATTTAACGGCCAACCTAACAGAGACAAATCAAAGCGCTCCAGTAAGCCAATTACTTCGGCCTTTGCTCTCTTGCCTTTTATGAGAGATATTTAAAGGCTTAACGTTTTCTGCAAAAGATGCCCCCGGGTGGAACTCTTCCTCCTCTGATTCTATAATTAATCTTTGATGTTCCGTGCCAGAAAGGTTAATGAAATAATTTAAAAGTAGCGAGTCAAGGTTGGCAACCTGGACACATTTTTGCTGAGTCTATCTATTTACTTGTTTGATCACTTTTCATGGTGCTTATAATATTGACTCACTGTTTATCTGGTTTAAACTAACGGGGTAGAATCTCCAATGTTCTATCCTTTGCTTACCTGGAGGGCACCTACACAAAAACCCACATAGAAAAATTCCTATCCATTCTAGCTCTGACTACTTGTCCCTAAGTAGAAGAGATTTTTTTTTTAAGTAGGAACAGAGTCAAAACAGTGTTAACAAAAAAAGCTATTTTCTTTTCACATCTCTTCTCTACTTCCAGATTTTTTTTTTTTGTTTGTTTGTTTGATCAGCTATTTTCCACCTATATCTCTTTGGGATGAGGCAACACATCGGAATCATAGCACTATTCATGGTTTTAAAAGAAATCTAAACAACAACATACATTTGTGAAAAACAAACACATAAAAACATCTGAAATCACTTGGCAATATACACAGTAAATCCTACATACTCTCTCTGTAAATCTCAGGATTTAAGTTAAAAACAACAAACTTTTTTTAAAAGCCTCTACTTTCATATGGTATTAAAGTAAAGAATGGCGCTGGGGAAAATTCTGCAACATGGTTCCCCATCCTGGTGTTGAGTAATAAGACATGTAACGGATTACCTCAAAAAGAAACCATAAAACCACTACTACCACCACCACCACCACCGCCGCCGCCGCCTCTAAATGCTAATCCATTTTAATTATAAAAACAAAGACAGTGCACTCTCACAAGACTGTAAAAGAGCCCAACAAATAAAGCCTGACTCTCTTACAACCACAGACCCTTGGAAAATTAGTCCCTACCACTGTAATTCTCTGACTGTGTCCACATGTGGTCCACTTAAGTCACGTAGAAGTCATTGTCCATGGACACCAGCTGGTCCTGCTTAAGACCCTCAAATACTTCCCCCAAAATTACTGAGAAGGATGAGTTTTGTGGAGACACCAACAAGGGACCTGCAAGCGACTGCAAATAAATCAAACTAGTAAACCCACAAGTGTGGCACTAAGGATGTGGATTCTTGGACCCCAATTTTAAATTACTTTAATGCACGACGGCATCAAATTGTCGGGTAATCTGAGTGCAAGTGGACTCTGGGGAAAATGTATCTCGTTGAAAATTGAAGGACTAAACAAAGGCTCCATCCGGGTTCTGTTGCATTTCTAAAGTCGCTCCTCAGACGCGTGCAAGTGTTTGGCCCCAGTCACTTAGCAATGCTGCACCCTCTGTCGGGAAAACAGCAGCAGCAGCAGCAGCAAAGCTGCTACGTGACACAGTAACTGATGGGCAAGCTCCAGGGGACACAGAAGCCCAGGGCCACACGCTCCATCAGCACACAGAGCTGCTGTGACTGACGCCTATGCCAAGCTAATGAAGAAGCAAGCTGCATTTCCACCACGCCTCGATCTTTCACAAGGCAGACTTCTCCCGAAGAACAAAGGCAGCGCTTCAGTGACAGTAAGACACCCTCCTGAATCACCCACACCCTGAAACTTTTCACAGAATACAAACCTTTGGGAGGCGTGAGATTGACTCCGTTTTTAAGGCACCACTGTACTGGCAAAATCCCCAAAGAATCCGCATGGCACAGCGTTGAGAGTTTACTGGCCTCTGGTCGCAGGTCGTCAATAGTCACTTGGAAAAAATGATTGCTAAAAACCTAAAGGAAAAAGGAAAAAAAAAAAAATTGGAGCCAACGGTGAGTTCCTTGGAATTATATATAACACCGGGATAAAAACTGCCGGGACAGCCTCCAAAGGCGGTTAAGGGTTACGACGTCTCATCAACACGAAATGGGCATGAACTGGAATTTCAGTGTCTTATTACTAAATTAACCTAACCTGCTGAAGAGTTAGAACGTATCAGTGTGGTCACATTAATGGAAAGATAAACAAATAACTACCGTGTTTCCCTGAAAATAAGACCTACCCATAAAATAAACCCTAGCAGGATTTCCAAGCATGTGCGCAATAGAAGCCCCACCCCGAAAATAAGCCCTAGTGACGGGCGTGGCTGCGCAGCGCGTCTGCACAACCCGTGCGTGTCGTCGCGGAGCGGGAAAGAAGACGAGCAGCCCTTCTCATCTGCCCCGTGAGAGCTCTAGTGCTCAACAGGAGAGATTGGGGCCAATGGTTCTAAAGGAAATAGAGTCGCAAGACGACATTCAGGATGGGATTCGGGGTCTGGAGAGTGATGATGATGTTCCAGAAGAAGACGACTTCACTCTATTTGAATCAACGTAGATTGTTGTACCGTACTTAAAATAAGCCCTAGGGTGTCTTCTTGAGGAAAAATAAATATAAGACCCTGTCTTATTTTTGGGGAAACACGGTAGACTATACAGAACAGAGAGAATGGAAAAAAAAAAATTAACATCTTAGAGAAGTAAACCCCAATGACCACAGCTGGAAGACAAACACCAGCTTAGCCGACAGCCAAGGTGGGAAGTGAAGGGTCAGACTGGGTTCTCAGTGTCCACGGTGGGGACCACACTCCTTACACCACATCCTTCAAGAACCTTCCAGATCTGGCTTGGAGAATTCTAGCCTCACCCCGCAGCACAGCCCTCTGGACACCCTGCCCTCCAGAGCGACAGGAAACAGGTGCACTAATATAATAAGTATAATACTGTATTTTGTTTATTCCTTAATTTTGTTTATCGTCTGTCTCTCCCCTATTAAAATATAAGCTTCTTAACAGCAGAGACAATGTTTCCACTGTCCAGTATAGTTCCTGTGAATACACAGTACTGTCTGTTAAATTGCTATGATCGTGTCTGTCCTGCAGACACTCATACCCAGACACGTATGTATATTAAAACATGTGACTTTCCCATAATACGCTAAAATTAAAAAAAAATTAAAAAACAAAACAAAACAAAACAAAACATGTGACTCTGATGCCCAGATCTCTTGGTGCTTCAAGACCCTGTGAAAATGGGCACTGAGGAATCTCCAAAACCTGTTCAAGTCCACGCACACGTGGGCACGCCCCTCAGGGAAAAGCTTATTTAGTCAGTTTCATCAAATCCATCCGCATTCGCGATCCCAAGTGGTGAGAACGGCTGCTCCGTGACCCATCCAATCCAGAACCCACCAGTCTCAGAACTAAAAGCCCAGGGCAGTTAACCAACTTGCCCAGGACCACACAGCTCAGAGACGGCAGCACAGAAACAGAACCCAGGACCTCCCATTCTAGTTTCCTTTCCTCTTTCCCCTTGTGGGTACCACGTCGTTCACTTAACGCAGAGGATGTCACCAACATCGGAATATCTCAGCCTGTAAGGGGCACCAAAAAACCACTATCCCCGCTTCACTGCCAGAGGTTGGCCATTTGACACCAGATCCATTACATGCCTGTCTGTTTGCTGTGACATTATTTACTCGTTTCTTCAGGGGGTGCCACCAAGAAAAACCACATGGGGAGGGGTAAATGAAATTTGGATTGTGATGAGCGGTGACAGCAAAATGTGTAATATTCTCAAAGGTAATAGTCTAAAGCATCATCCGGTGCTCAGAGAAATATATTTAATTATAAACGTCTCCTACGCTGAGAATATTCTGGTACCTCATGACATGAAGACGAGCTTTGCTCCTGAAGGGGTGCCCGCCCAGGTTCTAAGGGACAGAAGCACACGCCTCAGCACACAGGGTGGTAAGAGGAGGGGGGGGTGCAGAGAAGCTGCACGACTTAAGTATTTTATCACTGGTAGGTAAGAAAAAGTAAAATGAAAAGAAAAACATTAAAAAAAATAAAGGCCAGGCGTGGTGGCTCACACCTGTCATCCTAGCACTCTGGGAGGCCGAGGCGGGAGGATCACTCAAGGTCATGAGTTGGAAACCAGCCTGAGCAAGAGTGAGACCCCCTGTCTCTACCAAAAAAATTGAAAGAAATTAATTGGCCAATTAAAAATATATAGAAACAATGAGCCGGGCATGGTGGCGAGTGCCTGTAGTCCAGCTACTCGGGAGGCTGAGGCAGGAGGATTGCTTGAGCCCAGAGTTTGAGTTTGCTGTGAGCTAGGCTGATGCCACGCACTCTAAGCCTGGGCAACAGAGTAGAACTCTATGCAAAAAAAAAAAAAGACAAACACACAAAAAAAATCACTAAAAATACCTACTCTCAGTCCCCCAATGAGATCTATTTAGAGAGAAATTTTTATTGTGAAGACCGAATACTGGACGCCTATCCAAGTAGATAAAGATATTTTGATGCGTATGCCACACTCTGTCATTACGTACTGCAATTATTTAAAGGTACAAAACTGTGAGAGGGGCCACCACCGACAAGCTAAGCACAGCAGCTCTGTGTAGTTTATTTTAAATACCAGCAGAAGTGGACACTTCAGGCCTTCTGGACAATGTGATGGGTATTCAGACAGATGGGCAGCTGGCATGACTGTGCCACCCACCAAGGGAACAAAGGAAACTCTGGCCAGGATTCAGCAAGGTGCAAGGCTTCAGTGTTGGAAAACTTCCGACGACTGCCAGCAGACACAGCAAAGAACTTCAAAGGCCATTCTGAATTAATAGGTTCTTAATGGATGCCAAATGAATGGCCATGCATGAGTTTTAACCTCAAGATGATAACACAAAGCGTTGAGTCAACATTCTCTTTAAATAAATTACCTTAAATATTTAAAGTTACCCTTTAAATAAATCAACAGTTCTAAAAGTAATTTAGGTTCACCAAAGAAACAAACATTGAAAAGGAAACAAAAAGCATTCCATTATTACGATCACTTCCCCTATTCTTCAATACATTACCTATCACTAAATTTCTCCAATTTCACCAAAGCATTAATTTTTTAAAAAATCTCGACTCAACCTTAAAACATTAATGGATTGCATCAACAAATCCAGTCCCCTTAAGAAAAAGGAATTAAAATAAAATTGACTTTTGAACCTTTAATTCTCCCACCGAAATACACAAAAGGCCCTTAAACCAAGACACACGTCGGCTAAGAATGCCCAGTTTCTCCCACCTGATTCGTAAGCGGCTACACTTCAGGTAGAAACGGGCGATTCAGATTTCACCATAGGTTCTATCAGTGAGATGTCTTTTGTGGGGAAGGGATACTATAATCTTAAGAGATCATCAGAACGTCGTAAAAAATGCCTTTACATGAAAAGGAAATTTCATTTGGAATCTTGCAAATCTTAGAGGCATGAGTTTGTCTTCAGTCAATGAAGGCAGATGAGGAAAAGGGCACGTGGGGAGGTGAGAACTTGCTTTTCACTATTTTCAGGTAAAATATAAATAGATCATATTCACCACGGACCCATGCAGGAGAAAAAAGCTACTCTTACAATGATTACGACACGCACCTGGTCGGTGAACAACTATCCAAAGACAAGGAAAAACGCCTCCGTGTGATATCGGAGGAGGCATCTGGTTAGACTCGCCCCGCGCTACTCGTGATAAAAAGCGCTTAGAGCAGTCCTGGGCTGGAGAGACGCGACCTGCCTTTGGTTCACCGGGCATCGCTCATACCCTGGGCGAGTGTATTTCATCGGGTTGGCTTGGAGTCGAAAGACTTAATCTGAGCCACTCCGGGGGCCGGGTGCTCAGAGCAGGGGAGGGGAACCCACCTTGGTCACTGATGCAGGACAGATATGGAAGGGCTCGCTCATGTTCACTGTTTCTAGCTTCATCCCGACTGTGAAGAAATGGCTTCGCAAATCTGCATGATCCTGCGGGGAGAAAGAGAAAGGCACTGAAAGCGGTGGCACCGGGAATGAACCCGGGACCCGTCCGGAGGTCATCTTTGAGCGCTGCACCGGGCGACTGAAATCGGATGGAAATAACGAGCCCTCCAGGCCGCTTCGAATGTCTGGTTATGGCAAGATACTGGGGATTTGATTGTTTTTCTGCAGGCTGAATTGCTTTTCCAAGGGAGAGGCAGCAAGCCTACGTGGCCACGCTTAAATTTACACCGAGCAAAAAGAATTCACATCTCGTGGCTTCGATCTTCCCGGGTGCTACCCGTGGAAGCCGGCGGGGTGATGGAGGCGGCGGTCGGTCCTCCTGAACGCAGCGGGGTGTCTTCGGAAAGCGTGGCCGCTTTGCCGCTGGGGCTACGTCACACGGGACTTCCGTGCGGCCCCTCTGGGTGACCGTCGCCCCCCACCTCCTGCGTCTAAGTGAACTCGGCTTACCCGTTACAGGCAGTGAGCCAATGACCTTGGAGATGTTCGCACACAAGACTCCAAACCGCCCCGACTCCTGCTCAATCAATAAAGATGAGCAACACCCCCTTTTTAACAGGTGTCCGGCGGTTTTGCAGCCCCGCTCGCAGCGACCAGACGGGGCTTCCTTGGCTCCTCGAGGAAACACATTTCAACGCCCACTGCAGCTATCCAGTGGCGGATGGGGCTGGCTGGACTCCCCGCACGCCAGAGTTTCCCTCGCTGAGCTGGAGGCCAGCTCGTAACTCAGTCTGGATAAACAGCAGCGGACGAATAAATGGACTTGCACGGGGTCTGTCCCCGAGGAAACGGCAGCTGCAAATGAAGCCTGCGCTTTCCAAGCACAAAGGTAGCTGGGGGCCTATTACTTTCTTTTTTAAAACTGCAAACCTAAATTGAGTCTTAATTAATTCAATGATGCCACTTGACGTGGCCCGATTACAGGGCGGGGGGATGACACAGAACACAAAATAACGACACAGACACACATGGACATGACAATGACTCCAGTGACCAATGCACCGGTCACTTTATTTTTATACCCCCCAGACCCAGGGTTAGTTCCTTGTACGTAAGAATCTGAGCATAGCAGCGATATCAGTCAATTCCGGAGTTGTTTCAAAAGGGAACAATTTCCTGGCTGGGTGCGGTGGCTCACGCCTGTAATCCTAGCACTCTGGGAGGCCGAAGCGGGTGGATTGCTCGAGGTCAGGAGTTCGAAACTAGCCTGAGCAAGAGCGAGACCCCGTCTCTACTAAATATAGAAAGAAATTAATTGGCCAACTAATAAATAGAGAGAGAAAAAAATTAGCCGGGCATGGTGGCGCATGCCTGTAGTCCCAGCTACTCGGGAGGCTGAGGCAGGAGGATCGCTTGAGCCCAGGAGTCTGAGGTTGCT